GGGGGGGGGTCAAATTCGGGAGTCTCCATCCAAAATAGTGAATTTGCATGTATATGTTACATCTTTAAATCGACTATTATCAATCCGTTCACCCACAGGTACATATATAGTGTACTAAGAACACCTATAATAGACTAGTATCTGTTTTGTTAACAACGCAATACTTGAATACAGAATACAATTCGTATGTGCTCAAGAGTTACCAAATAGCATCATAAGGTGTCGGACAAAAATTCCCGTCCGTCTATTCTAACCTCTAAATTAATTCAAAAGATTCGTCTCATTCCAGCAAAGCGCGAAAGTAATGCGCTGCCATGTTGTATAGGTCACGTACGTCATGCTTGGGATATGCTAAATTTATCCAACATAAATAATAAACGGTTGAATACGCAAATTAATAGAATAATGCATATGTTATTAAATTGTTATATTTGTAATTATTTACATTTTTAATATTTATTAGTCGCAATCAGTTAATTTAACTGCACTTAATCGACCAATGCGTCGATGAAATAAAATTGAATGAAATAATATCAGTATTAAGCTGGCATTATTTTGTATTGTATATGAAATTACAGAATAAAATTTATGGGAACTTCTGATTACAAAGGTGCAAAAAGCACCGACTTAGATCTAGTTCCGTGAATAGAGACGGCCTTTTTGTTTCCAATTTCCTCTTAATCCCCTTGTTTGTTTATGTTTAGTATTGAAACTGATCGAAGAAGAACATGATAGCTGCTAGATGGCCATCTTGAATTTTATAATTATAAAGTTTGTCTCTTTCTCCAATTTCACAAGTGCCTTCCTCTTAGTCTTTGTGCATGTAAAATGTTGTGATTGATGGCATGAACAAGAAAAGATGCCAGATGATCATCTTGGAGTTTGACAATTTGCCACTGCTTCATTTATCTTTAATAGAACCTTTCTCGTATTCCTTATATGGTCTTCTCTTGATTCTTCGGTACTAATTGCGTGCGTTTTCTTAGTTGTGTGGTTCATTTTTAGGTTGATCAAAAAAAGTCAAAAGTAACAGTATGAAGTTGTTTTGATCAAATGTTACCCATAATGTTTAACAATAGGAATGAATAATTATCGAACATATAAAATAATAAAAAAAAAGCCAAACTGATGAAGAACTTATAATGATTTGACGACAATGGCAAAGTTTTGATAGAACATAACAGAACTATATTTGACTGTAACTCACACTCACACTTTCGAAATCCAAGTAGATCTATCACATATACATATAATACTGTGTATAATGTCGCCAGTTCCTACCAAGCTTAAATACATACATACATACATACATACAATGATACCATAAAATAGACATAAAGCATATGACGAAAGCCTCTCTACAGAGTTACGAGAGACTAAAAAGTAATTACAATGGATGTAAAAACACTTCACTGGAACTTGCTACTAAAAGGCTCACATAGGGATACTTGTTTAAAAGCTACAAATGTAGTATATGCCATAGATTTATCTCCTAGTACCAAACTTCAATTTACATAAATCAGCGATATCATTTTATTATATTCAATTATAACGACGTTCAAGCGATGTACATACGTGTTACGATGACATACACGTGCACCCGTCAATGTATTTGACCAGCTGTTTCAGTACCATCATCTCATCACACCGCCGAGGGCTATACACATGGTGTCGCTAGCAGGCTCTGTGTCATCAACGGACTATATGGAATAGATCGACTCAGAACGTGTTGAGTGCTGCATTTGAGTTAAAAAAAAAGAAAAAGTGTGATTATCTTGCTAGCTTTTTTAATGAAAAACGAATGACCCGTGTGTATGATGCAAACGAAAACTTTTCAAATCATATTTCAAAACAATTGCAAATATGATATTTGGTGATATACAGTGAGCAATCAAGTTAATAAATAAACTGTAGTTCACTGAGTTATATAAATATTTTTGCATTATTTCTAATTTTCAGAAGCCGTACACACACATTCACTATCTATAGCATGTATACACTCACACATCATTTAATAATACAGTACAAATCTCGTCGACGTCGCCATCATCATCGTTGTCGTCATCGTAAATCTCGTCGCCGTCTTCATCATCACTATTGTTTACAATCAATCCCCTAAAATGAAATCTAAAAACACTCAGCGATCTGGGGCTTTCTTGAGTGCTAGTAAGCTGTAAAATTGAATCAAATTATGACCAAATAGTGATTTTTTTTCACATTTTTGTCCACTTGAACAGTAAAACCAAAATAAATTCTAATATGACTAAAAGAGCTTTGGCAAGCGTAGTAAGGCATTTATTTATTCCACAACATATTTGGATTTTCAAACAAACTTTAGATGCTCTTATTTTTTTGGAAAATGACACCTACTCCATACAATAATGTTAGAGTGAATTTCAGGAGAGTTATCTCCCTTAGACTGCTGACCGTGCCAACAACATCGCTGTGACGTTCGGGGAGGTCTCTTTGTAAACACCCGGACTTCTACCAGAACGCATGTGTTATTTACCTGCACATTCTAACTAGTTTTGGGAGCCAGAGCTGTTTTCAAACCCCCTGTAGAGACGGTGTGGGACTCGGTACACCGCATTTCATTTCTCTACAATATAAACAGCACATGTACACCTGGAGCGCTTCTCGGTTGGGTTGACACGCTGGAGTTTACATTACATGTATGCTTGTGTTCTATTGTGTGAATGAGTGTTTATCAACATAAGCTGGTTGAACGGAATCGAAAGGATCATAATTTACTTGAACCACGGTCTTAGATAACAATCTAATTCCGTGCTTGAACGTATGGTACAATGTAAGTCAACTATATGTCCTCCTACCATTTAGTGAAGAGGTGACAATTCTATTCTAAATATAGTTAGTAGTATGCCACTAAACAAACAATATTACTGTATACACACAGAATATTATTATTAAAAACACTTAATACATCACGGACATAGATATTCGATTGGAGAGTAAAGAGCTCTATAGGAAAGTCTTTATATTAACATAACTTCCGAGTAGATAACCCTTCTCTAACCACCAACTCTACGCCTCTGGCATGTGCATATTTACGCCAGGCTAGTTCCCTACATGTATGCTGATGCTTCACAATGTTTCGCACGCGTTCTTCGTTCCGATGCAAGGTTTTTTGGAGCGTAACACAGTGTGTATTGTATATTAGCTTCCTCCTGTCATCATGGAGTTGTTCTGCTGAGACAGACTACCCATTCCGGAACACCTCACTATCATGGGACACTCGAGTGAACGATCTGGTAGACCGCCTGACACTGAAGGAGATTATGCTCCAGATGAGTAAAGGAGGGTCAGGTCCGAATGCGGGGCCAGCACCACACATTCCGCGCCTGGGCATAGGGCCATACAGCTGGAACACGGAGTGCCTCAGGGGGGACGTGAGTGCGGGGAATGCCACTTCATTTCCACAAGCACTCGGTCTAGCCGCCACATTCAGGTAATAGATGTAACATGTATTATTTAAAACACACGCGTGTATCGGATCTCAGTTTCTATACATGTACATGTAAAAGGGCATTGGACTACACTGATAATATATTATGTGTCTAGAAGTAATCTGGTCTTAAATACATGATTTAGTGGTGTACTTTTAAACGATAAAGATGGCCATTTTTTTTTTATACTTTTCACACAATTAACACATTTGAAAAGCGACTAGAAATTAAAATGATTATACAGCGTTAATTCGACATATGATCCTATATGGATCACTGTTCCTTATTATAAAAGGTATAACTTTGATACACAATTCTTACTAGGTTTTTTATTGGGTTTTGAAATGTATTACCTTCATTCTTTTCCTAGCACTGACGTCATACATGACGTAGCGGAAGCCACTGGTGTGGAGGTTCGCGCCAAGTACAACGACTATCGGAAACATAAACAGTACGGGGACCACAAAGGGGCGAGCTGTTTCAGTCCTGTCATCAACATCATGCGGCACCCCTTGTGGGGACGGAACCAGGTTATACTTATATTTATCACTGATGTTAAAGTTACATAGGTTTCATTCAAGGATATTTTGATTTCCAACTTGAACATGTTTGTATCATTTATAATATATTACCTTTTCTGTGATACGATGATTTTTTAAACGTGTTTTGTGAATGGTAATTTGGGTATTGAAATGACCACGGTAATGTTTACATATCTATTGTACAGCCCCTAAATACACCTACTAACTCATAATGTTGTTATCGAAGTAATACACCAAGAAGTAGTTTTCTTGGATGTTTTTAAGTCGGACACATTTCGGGTCTTTCTTCCTGTTACAGCATCAACTCAGGAATCGGCCGTGTGTTGTCTCCAAATTTATCGTAATATGCAATAATAAAATGGAGACAGGGATGCTTTTAAAACCCAATATATGGTGGTTACCCAACGAGTGATGGTAGGTTATCATGTTTATCTAACTCGAGTAAGTTAATTTTCAAATTGTATAAAGGCACGAGGTTTACCGAATGTCTTTTACAATTTGAAAATTAACTTACAAGTGTTAGGTAAACATGATAACCTACCATCACGAGGTTGGGTCCTTTTTCTCACATAACGTTCATATTTTATCTGGAAAGCCATATGTATCCCTTGAAAATACACTTTGTCGGCTTCCGATCGGGGGAAACAATTGCCGTGAATCGTGACGTCACAATAGAAGATTACATCGTAAAGCATTGTTACGTGACGTCATAAGTAATAAATTGACCAATGAAATCACGTCCAGGGTATTACCCACAAGTGGGTCACCAATAATGTTAACCAACTCCTAGCAGGTTTATCCAATGAGTCAGGAGTGGGGAAACCTACAGTGATTGTGGCAGAAAAAAACTGTTCAAATTTACCTCCTCCCCTGCCCCGTGGTTTACCCTCCTGGTACTGCCCAAACCTCTTAACCCCGCCGTCCTCAGGGGACACCAAAGGCTTCGTTCGTCAGGTAGGAAAGAAGGAAAAGTTATGTTATTAAATTAAGAGCAATTATCTCTACCGAATGAAAATATATGAGAGGTAACAGAATTTTTTTACATTGCTACAAGCACATTTTGAGCCAATAGTTAACGTAAATTAGTATGCAACACATAACTGACAAGCACTCGGAAACATATTAACAATTGTGTAATATTCAAACACGAAGCTGAATTGTGCAAAGTGTTTACGTGATGAAATTAAGATGTGTGGAAAATTTTCAAAGAAGGTTCAAAAGCCGAAGAAGAAAGTTCAATTTGTATCGTGTAGCGCTTGTGAATTATAATAAAGGGACAGGGACTCTCAAAGGTAATCTTAATACCTCTCTAAAACACAAATCAACCAATGATATGAACCATAGATACTTGGGTGTTATCAAAATTGTGGTGACACACAAATTAGAAAGAAAATGAGAACTGCAAAGCTTATGAGCAAAATTCTCTCACTGTAAAATGTAAATAACATATTTATAGGGAAAAAGAACTGTTCATCGAGCCAAGGACGATGATGATTCGCACTAATCGTTATCCAGTGTGAAGTCTGGTGGAAGCCATTAACCATACACCAAAAAATAGAGGTAAAAGACCTGTTGGAGGTCAGTGACGTGAATAACGTTGCAGTGTAGTTAATAATGCAGTTTGGTGACATTTCCCAAAAACGTCTTTAGCTAGCGCAGCAGCGGGATACATTTACAAGTACGTTCTACAGCCTGTACTGAGTGAAGATATACGGCCTCAGCAAGGTTCGGGTTTCTTCTTTGTTTTATAACGTCCTTCTTCCTGGTAACGGATTGAATCATAAGAAGGCGGCCTCAGCAAGGACCACGGCCACAAAACAGTGTTATCGATTGATGACGAGGCCTTGTAACAGTTCTGGTAGCGGAAGTCTTATCCATTTCTTGTCATGAAGCGTCCCAGATTGAGCAAAAACAACCAGGAAGGAGTGCCGAGACAATGCGCTTGAATACATCCGGATAGGAGTTATGATGAAGATGTTGATTATAAGCCACTTGCAAGTTTTTAAGGAAATCTCTCGTGACACATCCGGACATATTACTTACATGTGCAGTCGAGATACAACGGTACACGTGCGTGCAACATTTTGTCAAAGATTTGTCCGTGTACAGATTATAACTAATAACCGAGCTATGACCTCTTGATTTCTATAATAACATGATATGGTAAGCAGCGTTTTATGTGTTATTGTCTGAATCACTTTCAAGTTTGTGATGGAACCAACATACACATATTTAAAACATTCGTAAAAAGAATGCCATGTGTGGAAATGCATTGTATGATTTGATATAAAGCATGTTGATCCTTGAAAAAATGGAAATACATGAACAGTTATTTGCCTACCGACCTACCCTATCTGTTTCCAGGCATGTTACCCGAAACTTATTTGAAACACACATACTATTTGTTTGACCTGACGATCACGTAACGTTTTATAACAGTATATATACCAATACTCACGTGCGTTACTACGTGCCTTTTTTATGTCTTATTTTCTTATTACCAAACGGCACTATATATAATTTATTTGGATTACCAGCTTGGTCGGGTGGCGCAGATGTTAGCCCACTTGTCTTTTATTAAGGCGGCCGGGGTTCGGGAGAAGGCCGTGATAAGTTGTAATAGTTCGTGCCCAATCCATTGTTATTTTTTTTGGCAATAAATATGTTTGAAGCAAAGTCGATTCCCCGATCGGACGTGAAAAGGTTAGGGGTCTCCTGCCTGACCACATGTGTTTTCTCCTGGTACTCCGGTTTCCTTCCGCATTAGCCCAAACGCGCGCTTACATCCGGGCCAATAAAAGTGATTATATTAATATAAGTTGAAATAACTTGTTTCATAATTATTGTAAGATAGATAAAGTTTAGTTGGTATATATACTTAGACTACGCATACGTCGTAACACAATAATTATCTGAAACTTAATTCCGGATTATTCTTCAGTTAAAGAAAGTTTTTCTTGTTAATTCATTAAAGAAAATATAAGACAAATGATCTGCGACAGTTCCGCATACGTTTCACGACTAGTGGACGTAGTAAACAATGTTGTAATACAAAGCCTATCATGTGACGTTATGATATTATTGGTACTTAGTAACACATGATCTTACCAACATTAATGTTTTAGGAAACTTACGGAGAAGACCCCTTCCTCAGTGGCGTCATGGCTGCCCACTTCGTGAAAGGCTTGCAAGGCCAGAACCCAACGTACATTAGGGCTAGCGCGGGCTGTAAACATTTCGATGTTCACGGCGGGCCGGACAACATCCCCGTGTCACGTTTCTCTTTCGACGCCCAGGTAAACGATTTCTTACATGTATAATATAAACAATATCTTTACCAGTCTGTTTGAAAAATAGAAGACAGTTTGTCAAGATACAAATGAGGCTGGTAAGATATTGTCACAGTCCTATCATCAATACAGTGTATATATTTGTCAACTGAGTCATTACAATAGCCTGATGACGATCTTATAAATACAGTTTTTTTCTGAATCTTATTATATTAAAAAGAGAAAGTAACACGATTAAACAAGCGATAAACAAATATTTTAATTCTATATAGGATGTGGCAACACGCAACTAGCATACGTCACATTGGTTTATTAACATTTGTATTTGATAACAGCTTGGTGTTGTTTTTTTGCTAAATTGTGTAAAGCGAATGTTAAACAGAATCCCTTTTATCTTCCTTGTGGCACAACACATTTGTGGTTTTCGTTTCTTTTGCCTTTACAAATTAAACTGTCGGTATTTCGTTACTACATGCTTAGGTGGTTAGCTGGAGCGTTTGCCCAGAGACAGCTAAACAGTACATATAATATATATCCCCTGTACTTATAGCATTCAATGTTTTCTCCAGATTTGAAAAAATGGGGTCATTGGTAATGTGATACAGACATAATATTCACAAATTTCTAGAGAAAACACTAAAACTGAAACGCAACCAAAATGCATGGTACACAGCAGTAGTATAGCAAGTTGTAATCTACAGTGTATATACAATGAAGTTTGCAGTCATCGAAACGCGTTTTCTGTACTGAAACCTGCATCTTTAAGATGACTGAATTAATAGGTATGATTGATCGTGTGTTGTGTACAGAAAGCCGAAACAGAGTTAACATCGCGGGATGCCATTGTTTTCACGGTCACTAAACACCACTAACACATGTGCTGATAAAGAACCCCCCCCCCCCCCCCACAAAGTCGTGCCAACATTTTTAACTCTATTGCTATACTTTTTTATCGAAAAGCTGAAATAGTATATTTGCTGTCGATTTTGTTCGGGGTTCATGTCGTCCAAAATCGTGTCATGAAACGACGAAAAGAAAGCAGTGGAATTAAGAAACTGCGAGGCGGCAGATCTTTTGATTTCCAGTGTTTTGATGGCATAAACACGAAGTTTTATAAAGGACCCCACGTAGTCGCCTCTTAATATCATGTCGATTACAACTACTAATGTGTTGATAGTAAATTATATGATTGACAGGTAAGTGAACGTGATTGGCGTCTCACCTTCCTACCCGCCTTTAAACGATGTGTAGAAGCGGGGACTTTCAGTCTGATGTGCAGCTACAACAGGTCGGTTGGTGTATGGCTTTTCTGACTTTTATAAAAAAAAATCATTTTGCAAAACATCATGAGCTTTGAAATATATTCACTTCCCAAATATTGGTAAAAAATAAACGGCACTCGACGTTATTACTCCTGAAACGAGTTTGTTATGGAAAATGATAATCAATTATTCCTGAAGTTTCCTCTAAATGTGGCTCGCTTGCTGATGTCTCTTTCAATAATGTCTGTAACGTTATGATATAGAATGATGTAGAAAATGATCAGTTGATCATCCTTGTTCTCCCTTTTACAATGTATTTTTTTAAAGTTTAAGTAGCAACACTGCAGAGAAAAAAGTAACTCTCGATCCAGCTATCCATGTTTTTTGAAGAACAAAATCAATTGGTCCTTCAGACTGAATGGCATTCCAGCCTGTGGTAATAAGCGCCTCCTGACGGACATCCTGCGGAAGGAGTGGGGGTTCAAAGGTTACGTAGTGAGTGACCAGGAGGCCATAGAGAACATCATAAACTTCCACCATTATCTCAACAATACCGTAGACACGGTAGCTCTGTGTGTAAATGCTGGCTGTAATTTGGAGTTGTCCACCAACGAAGCAATCCCGGTCTACTTCTCAATGAGTATGTAGATTTCATTTCCCCATTTTGGTTATCTAAATGCTTCTTATATTTGATATCCGATATGAACACAATAGGGTTGTCAACGAGTAATTGGTTCACCAACAATTGCACCATAAAGGAACTCATTTACGAAAGACCGGTATATGCTCGTATTGTATACCCCAACCAGGTGCTTGATAATCACCTCTTCCAAACTAAAGTTTAGCCTAACTGTCAGTTTTGAGCCTGGCATATTCATTTTGTGTGTACCAATCTGACAACCTCCATGTTCTCTACTTAGTGTGACGTTTTATGGGAAAATTGCCACTACACAAGATACATGGATAGAAATGTAAATACAATAAATAAGTTGGGACAGCTGCCTTTAATATACATGACTTTAATAGCAGAATTGACTGTATTTTTCGAGAACTTTTACAATGTATCTAGCTTTTGTCGAGATAATGTCACACCCTTTTTGCACTGGTGTATTTCTTGATCATTTTTCATTGGAAGGAATATACTTTCATAAATATTGTTTTCAAATCTAATTCAAGAACATAATATATTGAATTTATCTTGGGCTTGTTTTCTTCCTTTCAAGTTAAGATAAAACATGAATGCATTAACGTAAGAAGCTGATAATATCGATTACTCCATTATGTATGTGAATAAATACGTAGTTTTGGTCCCTTGCACAAAGTCGGAATCTTACAGTAATGCTTTATTGATACCATATAAATGAATAAGTATGCTGTAGGAACAGCAGAAATATGTTTTTTTCTATTCTCGTAGTTGATGCGATACGATCTGGAAAATTGACCGAGAAAGTTGTTCGGGCAAGAGTGAAACCACTGTTTTACACCAGGATGCGACTCGGCGAATTCGACCCACCAGACCTGAACCCGTACAACTTTTTGGGATTATCCAACATTCAGAGCGCGAATCACAGGATGAAATCACTAGAAGCTGCAATGAAGTCATTTGTTTTGTTGAAGAACGTCAACAATTTGCTGCCGTTTCATAAATCATTTCAGAAAATTGCGGTAAATATGACGATTCCATTGGTCACTTTCTCTTCAATCCTTGTTTGTTAAATTCAGTACCCGTGTAAACCACACAAATTAACACCCTACTGCACCATCACACTACCTCTCCGTCCACCATCAGTGGCACCGAGGGCCAACAGACTGAAAAGTAACTCTATGGAAAGGAAAGCAATATACTACAGAAAGGAAATATATAAAATATATAACCACTTTATTTCGATGTTGCAAACAGAAGCATATCAAATAGTAGTATCTAACAGAGAACAAAGAAACCTCTTACCATACAGTGTACCACGCATTGGCCGCCTATTGCAATCATAAAATGAGATACATTGGTCAAATTCTTCCTGGAAAACCTGCAGGAATAGATGCGTCCTTCCAACTTCAGTATAAACCAGTGCACCTAATTAGCAGAAACCTGTTGCTAGTTTTTATTTCCATATAGTGTATTTTTTGTTCTAGTATTGTTTTAATGAATAAATAACGACATTACTAAAAAAAATAGTACACTGTATAAACTTTTTTGCTATGATGTTTCCTGTTAATATAAGTAACGAATCAATTTTACCCAGGTAAAATAATTCTTCTAACCTCATATCTTCATTAAAAAAAGTATGCGACATATTTCCTTAATAATATTCAATCTCTTTGTTCAACCAGATTGACTGCAGTACATGTGTTGGATTCCCATATTTATTCCACAGAAGAAAAGTAATTGTATTCATCATCAGAACGAAAACTGTATATGACAAACGGCCAGTTTAATTCTTGTTCGTTGGTTACAGGTCGTCGGACCAATGGCAAACAATCTTGACCAGCTGTTTGGTGATTATAGTGCTGACGCCAGTCGTCAATATACAACCACACCTCTAGACGGACTAAAACATCTAGCACAAATAACGAACTATGGTCAAGGGTGTCCGGACAACAGGTGTGTCCATTACAATGCTACACAGGTCAAGACCGCTGTGGCAAATACTGAAGTAGTCTTTGTCTGTCTTGGAACAGGTGAGGATTACCTTCTCTCATTCTCTTGGTGTGAAGAAGCATATGCTAAGCGCAAAGCTGGAATCAGTCAATTACTGTCTGCTTTTGTTTGCTGATGAATTATTAACACAAAGATAATTCGTTGATAGACATTATGATAGGGTTCTCTGAAACTACAATTTATTTGATTAACAGATACCCCGAAATACACTGATATGCATATATTATGTAGATATTTTACCAACTAATTAATAGAATTTATGATTTTACAAGAATAGGTGTGTATCAGATGTTGAACTTGTTTAGCGTGAGTATCGTACAGATCATCGCTGTTCTCCGAGTTGAAAGTTTTATCAATAAGTAACGGCATTTTCACTTATGCTTACATGTTGATGCATAGATATTGGACAGAATATCGATATTTTTTCTTTGCAGCCGATTATTTTCTTATATGATGTCATCTCTTTTTGCTTAACTGAGGGTGATGTAACTGTACTGTGTTGCTAAAGTGACCGAACTAACTGAATCAATACTGTTGTCTGAAATCATGCACGAAGAATTTTCAACAAAATTTTAAAGGTTGAAACATTCTCTTTTTATGAAATTCTGTATAATAAAACTCCAAATGGTAAACAGCCGTCTTTTGTAACGTATTACCTATTACGTCACAAAGACTCTATTTTATCGACAGCATTGTCATTTTATCTTCCAGAACCACTGATGGACAGTTCAGGATATTTTGTTGTATAATAAATTTGCTAGGTGTGTCATTTTCTAAAGTTTTGAGTTAAGGTAATATGTCAGCTTTTATTTTTCTTTAAGAAAAATAACACCCATACAACGATTATATTTATTACTGTTTTCTAGTCTAGTCCTAAGTTGTTACCAGCACCGACTATCGTTTTTGAAATATAATGTTTTATATGGTAGGCCAAGAACTTGAAAAAGAAGGCAATGACAGGATCAGCATGGATTTACCAGGGCATCAGCTTCAGCTTATGAAAGACGCCGTGAGATTCGCGGGTAAAGTGTATATTAACCTATACCACAGTGTCTAAACCTATTTGAAATAAGAGCAGGCTCACCTGTGACAATGAGGTCTGCGTAACTAACCGTGTGTGGAGTGATTAATAGAAGCTAATACATAATACATAATAATAAATAAAGTCTATTTCGAGCCTTTTTCCCGTCATAATGTCAGTAAATAATGACAAATTATTTTTCCCGTCATAATGTCAGTAAATAATGACAAATTATGTCAAGTATCGAATATTTGATACTAGTAGATAATGTCAACGTTTATAATATATGACAAACAGAACCGATATATTTGACATCGTAGCAAAAACTGTACGAGACATTGATATTGATAGGTAATGCACCTGTCATATTGCTCCTCTTCAATGCTGGTCCCCTGAACATCTCCTGGGCTGAGCAGAGTGGTTGTGTTGGTGCCATACTGGAATGTTTTTTCCCCGCTCAGGCAGCAGGAGAGGCCATCTTCAGTGTTCTCACCAGCAACGGCGAAAACAGCAACCCAGCAGGCAGACTACCATTTACATGGCCAATGTATGATAATCAGGTAAAAATGTACAATAAACCTTTCCTTGGCAGCAACGAGTGAAAGCAAGATAAACATGGTTTATATCAACAAATCCAATTAAACGATTTTCCGTAAAATAATCATACAAAATTATAAATTTAGAACACCAATCGTTAACAATTAAGATAAATAAAGTGAAAATAAAATATAAAAAAAGACAAAAAGCAACTCGCGTTATTGCGTTTCTTGTGTTACAGGTACCTTTTATAAGTAACTACTCTATGGAAGGACGAACCTATCGTTATTTTAAGGGAGATCCGCTTTACCCGTTTGGATTCGGACTGTCTTATTCTAAATTCCATTACTACGATGCTTGGTTGTCACCTTATATATCCGCGGGCAAGCCAGCACGCGTTAAAGTGGAGGTCGGAAATAGCGGGCCCTATGATGGAGATGAGGTAAATGATCTACCAAGATAAGTTTGGTTTAGTGTGTTTGTGCTAACGTGTTTTAATAGCCCCGGCATGGAAATGAGGTAATACATTTATTAGAGTAAGACATATTGTGTTCAATGCTGGATCACGACTTACAGGGACGTATTATGATGCTAAAAGCATTCAACCTGGTCGAGACTATTTTGGCGTATAATGGCGTTGATCTGGTCGGAGATATTTGGGGTGGTTGTTATGGAGATTAGTTACATAGTTAGGTTCGATCATAAATATTTTGTCATGTAGTGATTTCCGTTAAATATACCATCATCATAATAAACAATATATCAAGACTAGATATTGCATTATTTGAACATCTTAGACCAAGACCGTTATGTAGTTTTGTATGTAAATGTTACCAAAAAACTTTGAACTCATTTAAGGTGACTAAATGCTTGTATTGTTTTCTCTTGGCCGAAGGTTATTCAAATATATCTTGAATGGATAACAACAAAGATGCCGATGCCGAGGTTACAGTTGGTAGCCTTTAGAAGAGTCTTTATCAAAGTGAATGATACAGTTACGTACACTCTGGAGATACAACCCAGTGACATGGCTGTGTGGACAGGAAGTGCGTTTGTCATAGAGCAAGGTACGTATTAATCTGTACATTCTTGTCTCGCCGACACAAAGTAGCGGAAGCGAGACTAAGATGTTGCTTTTCCGGTCACGGCGGCGGCGTCAACATAACGTTTTCTCGTTTAAGGTATTTTTATTGAAAGTATTAGTGCTACACCAAACAAACTTGAAGCATACGTACATCTCAACCCACGCATCAAATGATGGATACGACCTACGTGTCATGGTCCATTGACTTTGCCGACATCTCCATCAACATTTAGTTTTCATTTCATTTCAACAGATTTTATTGACATGGTGTTATGGTCAAATGGATCGAATAACAGGCAAGCCTATATAAATTCTTTCCATAGGTGGCTAGAGTATTACAATAATATTATAGAACTATAGCTAAATATATACATAAATGTAAACGATAAAGTAATTAAAGGGAGGTAACTCACTTTTGATCACACACCGACACAGATACACACACACAAACAAAACATAAATATAGTTATTAACTATCATAATTACACGTGTACACATGAGTTACTATTTATCATTCGATACAGTTAGGTAGATAGACCAAAGGTCCATGTGCAAGTACTGCACAGGTCATCACAACCCGAACTGTGTATTAATTTATTTATATGTAACTATTTAATCTACAAATTTAACCCGACATGTACATTTATCAAAAGTATAAGTAAAACATTGTGTAGAGGAGCACAAAATAATTAAATGAAAATATATATTTATTACATAATCAAATAAATTCACAACCATGTTCAACTGTTTTCATAGAAAATTACAGTTTTACTGCAACTATAAGTGCTACACCGACTAAGTTTGACATGTGCATTGATGGTCAAAGCGGGGCACAGGTGAGACATATCAATCCGAATAGCTTGTTGTTTGTTCAATCTTCTAGGACCTCGATATAGTTTGGTCATTTTGTTGTATGCTTGGCCTTTTAGTTCAAGCAAGTAGCTTACTTGCAACGCACGAGGACGTCGATACATTTTGGTAATTTTAGCTAGCAGCTAACATACATTGTGACATATATGGCAATATTAATCAACATTGTTTGATTTAAAATATTCAACTTTACTTACAATTCTAAGTTTTTGTATCATAGAGAGAAATGTCATGGTTTACATCTATAACTATTCGTCAGTGTAGTTCTTCAGAAATCTAACATGTTATAACATTTGGTAACTTATTTTCATTTTCTAGGTACGATGAGGATCTACATAGGCGGGCAGCAACCTAATCAGAAGATGAGCGTACCTTCCAATATCCTTGTTAGAGAATTCCATATCGCTAATTAGAAACATTTATATTAATGTGTAATCTAAACCACAATATGTACCAATGTATAAATGTGCAGCGAAATATCGGTAACCCGACCATTAACCGTTCACTCAGCATTGATTTCGGAACATAAAATGTTTGTGAGATATATATCTCAAATTTATTTTTTATTTTTCTTGTTTACCCTTATAAAATAAACTTGAATGTATTACTAATAAAAAACCATTAGTTTATTGAAAATTGTTCGTACTTGTTTCTTATTGATATTTTTCATTCTTTTTATGTATATCTAGCTGACCAGAACCACATCGAAAGTATCAACCAATGTTACCGACTCACAAAGTACGAAACACATCATTAATATGAAACTAACCAGTGCTCCTTTTATTGTTAAAATTGATATAATTAAGGGTTTTGTGCATCTTATCTTCATCTTCAATAATAGTTAAGACCAAGTGGAATGGCCACCTTTGTGACCCCTAGCATCCCCGATGAGCCATTGAAAGACTAAACAGCTATATAGTGTAGTGTAATTCATTTTGGCATACTGTATGTAGTACCAGATTTGTGAGGTTCAAGCACATGTGTGGGTCTTGCGTTCACCTTTCAATGTAATTATGTGGCTTTCTCCATCACATGCAAAGTAGAAATACTGTATATATGTGTATGTATGAACAAATTTTGCTTTAAACTGATTTAAAAACAAAGTACTTATTGCAACAATAGCAACACCATCAACACATTACATACCAAACCCATTATAACAAACATTTATTTGAGGACCTATTCTTTTAACAAGGGGAGGGGGCAGCGATTAACAATTACACTTTACTTGACGTAATTCTGTTCAGATGGTATATTTTTTTCTACACTGCAGCTTTCTTTCTAAACTGACTTTCTTTCCTACCATGCAGTATTTCTTTTCTGATGACCGTGTTACCATTTTCACCGTGTAATAACACTTAATGACTAACAATGTCGATGGGCCGCTAGACCATACCAAATGAAACCATAGCTGACTCAAATATTTGAGTACGTAGATTATTTATTTGGTGAGATAAAAATTATAGTTGAATTTAGTATCAGTAACAATAAAGCGATAATAGAACAATTTTGCAGAAAAGAAATGACAATGAAAAATCTACAAATTGTTTTAGAGTATAATCTAGTTCAGCAAATAATGTCTGCATTCTTACTGTATACATAATGCATTTAGAGTGGTTCCAGGGATAATATGCTTTCATTACCAGTTAAAAACTATTCACGTATTGTGAAAAGAAGATATCAAGACAAGGCCATATATTACTTTCGTCGTAACAGTCATTAAACCATCGAACAAGAATATTATTAAGCAAAATATTGATTTAAATTATTTTTTTTTCAAATATGACGAATATTGTTTTTCACTTATTATATGGAAAATAGGTTGTGTGAGAAACTTCAAAATATTTTTTATAACAATGAGCATCAGACAAAGTCATATGCAGTCACATGATTATTGTGTTATACAAGCAATAGAGATCGCCAGTGGACACATCGCAAATTTAAATTTCATTAAAAAACATCTCAAACATTTAAACACTGTTTAATGCAGTAATTATTCAAGGTTAATGATAAATTGATGCAAAATCATACACATATTGTTCACAAAACAATACAGCGCACTGAAAGCCTTTGTTGCATTAGCATTCCCCTCACGCAAGGAAATGCAATATTTTGTGGATAATGCGAGATAACACTTCATAACTTATAAAAATGGATTAGTTTTTTGATTGTTGTGTTTACAGGACATCCATCAAATACACGTTTATATGTCCTTTACAGAATAAACAAAGCGCCCGGGGCCGTCATATGATTCTTACCTAAGTTACGCTTGGGCAGTTATGTGTTAGCCTATAGCTAATGTATAACGCATTATCCAAGCGGCGCATATAGGGAATTAACACCAAGTCTATCTCTAACCTACCTATAATGTCTCCTGTTGGTGTACACGATAGATACGTATCGCTAAGGACAGTTGTCCTGTGTTTGATCGGAGCTACTTTGGCCCTATCTATCGATTACCCATTCCGGAACATCTCGTTGCCATGGGATGTACGAGTTGACGATTTGGTTGGACGTTTGACCCTTGAGGAGATTATGACACAGATGAGTAAGGGAGGTTCAGGACCTAAGGGAGGACCTGCTCCACCTATAGATCGACTTGGTGTAGGGACATATAGTTGGAACACGGAATGCCTACGCGGTGACGGGAGCTCGGGGAACGCAACATCCTTCCCACAAGCCCTCGGGCTAGCCGCCACATTCAGGTAATACTTCCTCCATGTGTATACACTGTCACAACTAACGGGTTTATCCTTAACAGCTAAAGGTTTGATCAGTTATAACCCATCGTCTTGAATTATGAAATAACATCACGCACTTTAGCGTTGCAACCATTTTCGTCATCCAATTATGCTTTATGGTGTCACACTTTTAAGCAAATCTTTTTAAATTTTGACTGGCAATGTAAATCATGCATTACATAGTAAAAGTATACTGTTTGGAATACTTGTAATGGGATAAAACATTGTGACATAGATTTATGATGTTTTATTTAAATGTCATCTACTCGTTTAGATCTAAAATTAAACTCATTTTATTTGGCTGAAAGCAAACGAATACATTGTTAAATATGAACCATATATATGGTATGAGGTGAAGTGTGAATCTTAGATAACAAATATTATGTCGTCATGATATGATTGTCTCGATGCTCCTAAGAAGCATGCACATATTACGGTAAGAGTTGGACAGTTGACTACACAGAGGATGATTAATTCCTATATAAGTATAAACACACTGCGCAGGCGTGATAAAAGCAAACATTTGGAAATAACATAATGTACTTGAAAATGGAAAACGGAAATATAAATTGATGAAACTGACTGACTGATATAGATTACAGACTGTTTATCAATAATATGTTATGATATATACTAATATATTATATAACATTACCATTATGACAATCATTTTAAAGCACTGACGTCATATATGACGTAGCGGAAGCGACTGGTGTGGAGGTTCGCGCCAAGTACAACGACTATCGGAAACATCAACAGTACGGGGACCACAAAGGGGCGAGCTGTTTTAGTCCTGTCATCAACATCATGCGGCACCCCTTGTGGGGACGGAACCAGGTTCTCATAATTATATTATGCAAAGTCAAGACTAGATACTATATTCATCCCATAACAGTTGATTACAGGGACATGTAATTAGCATCACGTGTAATGTTGACACCAACTTCTGATTATTCGTTGGCGTTGAATCATGCTATATTGGTCAAGTGCAACCTAAGGTCAATGTTACAGCAGTACGCCATATACTGGACTAAACTATGATGATGATGATGATGATGATGATGATGATAATGATGATAATGATGATGATGCAAATAATTGAATATAACTACATTGATTAAATGAGCAAGTACTAAAATAAACAATTCTCAGTTATAATTTGATTTAAAAGATAACCTACAACAATTGCTATCGTACCGTTTCAGGAGACATATGGTGAGGACCCCTACCTTAGCGGAGTGCTTGCAACACATTTTGTGAACGGTCTGCAGGGCCGCAATCCCACGTACATAAGAGTCAATTCAGGATGTAAACATCTCGATGTCTACGGCGGGCCAGAAAACATACCTGTATCGCGATTCTCATTTGATGCACAGGTAAATATTATGGTGCAACATCAACATGGACAGCATGTAAAATAGGAGTTGATTCACGATCAATGCACATTTATATAGTTTATCTTAAATTCTATCAATAATTCGGTAGCTCAAAACTTACAGAACGACATATAGAGTATGAATACATGTTTGATTATTATAAACAAATATATCACAATTGCAAAAATAAAACTGAAATGAATACGCACAATTATGATTCTTGGAAAACTTGCAAACACTCATACAATGCATTAACTTGTAAACTGATTGCCACTCCAGGTAAGCGAACGTGATTGGCGTCTAACCTTCCTTCCAGCATTCAGACGCTGTGTAGAGGCGGGGACCTACAGTTTTATGTGCAGTTTTAACAGGTCAGAATATAGAACATTGTTTCAGGAACCAATTTGAAGTAGTAAAACAATGGAATAAGACACCAATTTGAAGTAATAAAACAATGGAATGAGTTTAGATTACAGAGTATTTAAAGATCAATTTTATACAAGATTTCCCCCATATGTGTTTGACATCATCACTTTTTCATCGTCTTTTTATACAAGAATCAATGGCGTCCCAGCCTGTGGCAATAAGCGCCTCCTGACGGACATACTGCGGAAGGAGTGGGGGTTCAAAGGTTACGTAGTGAGTGACCAGGCGGCCATAGAGAACATCATAGACTTCCACCATTACCTCAACAATACCGTAGACACGGTAGCTCTGTGTGTAAATGCTGGCTGTAATCTAGAATTGTCCACTAACTTAGCAAAGCCCATCTACTTTTCGATGAGTAAGCATTACCTTTATAAAGGCAGTAATTACTGCTGTCAAAGGGATAAATCTTGCGTTTACGGTTAATGGTATGCAAATGTTTATTTGTTATGCAGTTTCACTAACCATAAAGCATCAAACGTAATTTTGTAATGTAAAATTTGTTGTCTTTTTTCTTTGATTTGACGTTTGACCAGCATACCTTACAACAACTCCGATGTTTTAAATGTGGAGAGGACATTATCTAAATCTATCGTAAGCTGGAATGCCTGTCTTGGCGTCAGAAAACTCAGTGTTTACAATACGTATTTATTAACTTGGCAATTTATTGTTTCAGTTGAAGCGATCAAAGCTAAGAAACTGACCGAGGCCATTGTCCGTGAAAGCGTAAAGCCGCTGTTTTATACTAGGATGAGACTGGGGGAGTTTGACCCACCCACATATAACCCGTACTATTATTTGGATCTGTCATATATCCAAAGTCCGGAACATCGAATGATTTCACTAAAGGCTGCCATGAAATCGTTTGTTTTATTGAAAAATACCAACAACTTGCTACCATTCACTCGAATATTCAGCACTGTAGCGGTAAGAATTATCAGAAATAGGCAAAGTGATTTTAATGGAACTTTGTTGTTCAAGTAAAGAGTACAAGAACATGTAAATGTTGACTTTTAGGGTGTTGAATTTTTAGTAGGAGGTTAATAGATGCACACGTTTTATGATTCAGTTGAGTCTATATCTGTGGCAAATAATTTAGGGTCAAACCGTAGTTTGACTAGCCTATTTTGACAAGAGAGTATTTCAGATATCATATAGCTTAGACGATAATTGATGACTACGTTCATGTGACTTGGAATATATAAAAAGGTAAAGTTAATAAAGCGACCCAGCGTTTGGCAATAATCACCATAAGGTTAGCATTGTATCAATATACCTAAAAAGTTCAATAAAGAGTTCGTTCAATTTGATAGAGTATATATAATGCTTTTTTCTTTTGCAGGTAGTTGGACCGATGGCGGACAACATGTACCAACTGTTCGGCACCTACAGTGCTGACGCTAGTCGTCAATACACTACCACACCTCTCTACGGACTAAAACGTCTGGCAAAGTCAACGAACTACGGTCAAGGGTGTCGGGACAACAAGTGCGTCAACTACAACGCCACACAGGTCAAAACCGCTGTGACGAATGCCGAGGCGGTCTTCGTCTGTCTTGGAACAGGTGAGGTACCGATTATTTAAAAAACAAGCTTAAACATCGTGGAATTTATGTTTCCCCCAGATGGAAGGAAAGTCAGATGCACCGATTCACTAGAAACAATCCTCTCTTCCGTTTTTCACCTAATATGAATCAGTAATCGTCAATTAGTTTGTTAAATGCGATAACATAAGAATTTTCAAACACCTAGAGCCAACCTTGAAACTCGTACAGAGATTAAATATAAATGATAGTTCAATATAATTAAAAAATACTTATTTCAATTTCACAATTCAGTCCGTTAGTATCATACATACCCCATAATTGTTTAAATTGTATATTTTCATCTAATTAGTAGCATACTTTTGATAACGAGTTTACCATGTGTATCTTGTTTATGTAAAGGGCAAGAACTCGAAGGCGAAGATAACGACAGAAGCAGTATGGACCTACCAGGAAAACAATTGAAGCTTCTGCAAGATGCTGTTAATTACTCAGGTATTGTTTCACATCAAACGTATATATCTAAATATTCAGTTTCTTAATTACCAATTTTAGAATTGTTCATTTTTGATATAAAATAATATCACGCATTGACTTGTGTAAAACGGAAACGAATACGTCATTTTCAGAATTAAAAAATCAGATGTATACGTGCTGTAATCTGACCTTTGTATATACTCAGGGACCGCACCGGTCATATTGCTCCTCTTCAACGCCGGTCCCCTGAACATTACCTGGGCTGAGCAGAGCAGTCGTGTTGGTGCCATACTGGAATGTTTTTTCCCCGCTCAGGCAGCAGGAGAGGCCATCTTTCGAGTCCTTACCAACAATGGCGAAAACAGCAACCCAGCAGGCAGACTACCATTTACATGGCCACTTAATGCTAATGAGGTATCATCTTTTAAATTTTATTTGTCTTCTGCTGAATTATTATAAAGATGAAGACTAAATATCCAAATGTATAACGTAGTTGCAAGTTGAATAGAATGCAAATTCATTTAACCACATATTAAAAAACAAAATTTCGAATGTAACAAGTTATTGTGGACCAATTCTAGACGTGTATTTATAGGTTCCTTCTATAACTAACTATACGATGGATGGAAGAACTTACAGGTATTACAAGGGCGACCCTCTTTATCCTTTTGGATTTGGTTTGTCCTACGCCGAATTCCATTATTATGACGCATGGCTGTCGCCTCTGATTCAAGCAGGCAAACCGGTTGGTGTGAGAGTCGAGGTTGGGAACAACGGACCGCATGATGGAGATGAGGTGAAATTTACACAATACATGTGCACTGAAAATTATGCATTCATAATTTCTGTAGGTTTTCTAAATAGACAATGCCTTACACTGTTGACTGTGAACAATTTTGATAATTTCGTTAAAGGTGACTTGATTGATAACCCCGCAAAAATAAATGAGAGACATATCCAGTGTTAATCCAGTTCCATCCCGTCCCGATTCAGTGACATCATTCTAGTTATTGAATATTCAAAAGTCAAGTATGTGAATACCCCAAACGAGGGTTCCAAGGTCAAGGCCAATGTCACGTATTATGTAAAAATGTGTCAACAAATTCAGTAACATCACTCTACCAACAACTTCACCAGAAAAATTGAGATTAAAATCAACATTTTCAACGTTAACATACGCCATTTTATATTGAGATTTACAGAAATATAAATTCAAATTTATATGTGTGTAATGCTATCACCTATAACTGCGATAATAACTTTGCATCATATTGTTTCCTTACAGGTGATACAAATATATCTGGAGTGGATAACGACGAAAATGAAAATGCCCAAATTACAACTTGTTGCGTTCCAACGAGTCTTTATCAAAGCTAGAGACAAATTTAATTATACCCTCGAGATAAATCCACGTGATATGGCTGTATGGACAGGAAAAGAATTTATTATCGAAGCAGGTAAATAACCGATGTTGTGATATATTTCTTCTCGACGTTTTTCTTATGAAGTTGCAGCAAACACACCTACTTCATTCCTCAGTCAGTTCTTTGATCTTTGCTGATTTTTGTTATCATTTACGGCTGTTTATTTAGTTTGTTTGTACTTTATAACCATCCATGATATTCAATATATCCATACGAAATTTCAATATTTACATCGGTGCTGCAGTAGTTACCAGTTTTGTAAATCAAAGCCCCGAGATCAAGTAGCTATTACTACATATATATTCTTGGCTTGATTCTACAGTTATCTGTTGACCACACGGTATCAGACCAGGAATTACTTGATTATATGACGGTGAAGACTTTCTGTCTTTCTTTTCATGCCCTTCGTAGTTCCTGTCCTGGTGCTTATATCAATATAGTGTTAGGTTGTTCGTAACATTGTAGCTACAGAGCTAGTAATAAGCTTCATACACTAGAACGGGCGTTTTTATCTTGGTTAATGCTCTTGTATTTTGTTTTTCAGGAAAAATGAGGATATATATTGGTGGACAACAACCTAACCAACAAAAACGCATATCATCAAATATACTTGTGAGGGAATTCGAAATTATTAATTCAAAACGTGTAGTTTAGTATTATGTTCATTAACTTTAAACGTCATTGCATCACTTAAACATATACTAATAATTTACATACATGTAATAATTTCAACAAATACTAAGAAAAAACATGATTTAGAATCTTTTAATAATTGCTTTCTGTATGATTGGTTGATACAACCCAAGGATGTATTACAAAGTATATTAAACATTAACAGTGTTAAAAGTAGATAACTAAGCACACACGCAATTTTAAATTTCACTAAACCATCCACCTTTGCACGAGACAATTTCCTTTATTGTTAAGAACAATAAATTACTACAATGATTTGACTTTACAAAGCGTACGTCATTTTTTATTTCGAACTTATGTCTGAAATATGTTCCTTATATACAGAAATATTAATGATAAAATATTGGCTTTTGTCGTACCTAAAAGTAGAACTCTTTTAGCAAGGGATGATTGGTTACAGCGTTTGTTTACACGATCAAGGATGTTTTTAAAAAACTGGAGGTTTGTTTTTTTAAATTATGAAATGAAGTAATAAGAGACAAATATGAAGACCGATCATATCAGTGGTTTGGGTATTTCTGCTTGCAAGTTCAACAAAAACAAAGATTAAATTGTTAAGTTAAGTATTGGTTGAAGTGCATTTCATGTCCTGAATATATCTAGACGTTTGTCGTCTGGGAAATCACAGAAAATCATGACACAGCAACAACTGTATCTCATATGACGTCGCAAAGCATTGTGACGGTAAATTTTGTGCAGTCCAAGTTCATACAAATATCCCGTATATTAAACCATGAAAACGCCTCCATCTTGTCGACATTCAGGTCACCAATTTCTTATTTACCCAATGTCTCGAGAGTTATGTCAACTACAGTACTTTTTAGACATAACTTTGTAAGCTGTTTTCAATATTCGTCATTGCATTTATTGGACGTAATAGTCTAAAACGACTGTGTTAACAGCCCCAAATAAGATATTCCTTGATGGACGGAGGCGACAATATTCGTATTGAATACTGCATACACTATACTACCCTATATTGATAATATATAAAAAGTATGTATATAAAAAATAGAATATCTGATTGATAGAAACAACGGCAGAATAAACGTAAAAAGCACCTTATAAATTAATAAAATTGAGCAAAACAAACGGTATTCACAAACAAGCAAACACGATACTACCCATCTAAATATCAATCAAAATACCGAGTATGGTTCACTTTGTGTGTGTGTTTTCATCCATTACAAAATGAAGCAATAATACTGATTAAAAAGTTATCACAGACAAGATATCAAGTGGTAAAACACAGAAAAGATAGTAGTATCACATTTAAAAATACATCAAGCATTGTCATCAATAGAGAAAATGGTATTTACAAATATTTTATAGAAAAACCAATTGATTCCCAGAATACAGGTATTAAATAATGCATTTAATCTCCCATATTTTCGCCTCATTGATGCCTAAATCTTACTCTAGCCAAGACAATATTTACAAGACTAGGGAAAATTAATTTCATAGAATTACATGGAAAATGGAGTATTTCCGTACAAAACAGAACATTTGATTACATTTATATCGTATGTCACCATCCGTGTTAATGCAGGTGTACAGATTTAAACTATTTGTGCATATCAAATAAAAATACATAATGACCAATACTCAATACAAAGTATGGAAATTTAAGACCACAAGGTCCGAACATAGTAAGTATATGATGTAAATAGGTAATTGTGAAAATATACAGATATATGACTTAATATAGTTTATTTACCCTCATAGAACATTGTATTTTCAAAAAAGTCAGTCATGAACATCTAAAAAATTCCTAAACAATTATTATAAATAACTACAGACATGCATAGAAAATTGTACTGTTTCTTCGGCCCAACTATGTTTGCTTTTACTATAATACTGTAGGTAAGAAATTTTGAAAACAAAACTGTTTCCGTTGAAACATTCTCATACAACCAAACAGTTCAGTGTATGTTATTTCCGTACCTTTATCTTCAGAATTAATTCCTGGTGATCAATTTCTTCATAAATATATATGCTTCAAAATGACGTCGACTTATTTAAAGAGATAGAATTGCCTGCTATTCAAGTTCGACACATGTCCTCGTTAGTTGGATCTATTTTTTCTCCTCTTGTGGTAGTGTCATGTGAAGGGGAGTGGCTGGTTTCCATGAGTCCAGTCCCCTAACAGACGCTATATCGTCGTCTCTTTGGAGTCTTCTCTCATTGTGGCGATAATTATCCCTACAACAATGTAGATCAGTTATATTACTTGAGTAGGCAACATAATCGACTTCCTTCATAATACAATTAAATAATATACAACCGTTCGAATCAATTATCTAATTTCTTGTCATAAACCAGTACTGCATTGACAAATAATTCTTAGCGTTATTCAAAATATTGTATAACTGTTTCATATGTTTAAACATGCGTTGTTAAACTATTGCAAATTAATAGCAATTTCTGCAGCTATTACAAGGGCGTTTATGAATATATCAAAGAATATATGCAGATCCGTTGTAACATTCTTAAATATTTTTGACACTGTTTTTTCACTGCTCGTTTATTAATATGAGATACTAGTAAGAAGATGCAATTTATTTCATAATAATGCAAAAGGTGATATTATCGAACCTTTCAACGGTGGCTTGTACATCAACAAGTCAAATGGTATAACTGTATACTTTAAGCGATGTATAGAGAACGATACATGCCTTTGTTCATATCACATGGGAAAAGGGCGTGTTTTATTCTGTTTATTACATACTTACTAATAAAAGCTGCTATCTTATGATATATTTTTCTTTTGAAATATTGAAAAACAAAAAAAATCCAAAAGGGATGTGATGCGGGCTGATACGGGTTTTGGGGTGTGATACGGCGGGGGCTGATATGGTTTTTGAGGTGTGATACGGTCAGGGCTGATATGGGTAAGGGCAATTGTGTCGTATCGCATATACAACAAAGCCGTATTTATTAGTAAGTATGTAATAAAATTGAATAATCAGCAATATTTGACAACATATGATATCGCACTGTCATTGCAGGGGATACATATCAGCAATGTCTCTAATAACCACATATACACTTGTACATTTATTCTTCGCCGTGTGAACGGAAGGAAAGCAACCAGAAAGACTTTATTCATGAATGATTATCAAAATGTCCATCTTAACGCTAACAGAATGATACAAAGAAAGTAATAGCACAAAACCAATCATAACGTCAGAACAATCAAGATGGTGATTCGTTATTACAATGCTATGTTTGTTTTCCGCAAAAAAATAAAAAAATACTGTGACATTTTGTTGTAGTCATTTCTGAACATAGGTAGGAGTCTGTACATTCCAATTTCCTTCTCAATGGAATCGATGTAAATGTGTAGAAATCGTAAAGAAAAAGACATCGCTTGACACACAAAAGATGGCAGAAAGCAAAGGAATTAATCAAAGCATAGAAAAATAATCAACACATTCTAAATGTATGATTGTAGTCATTCTAAAGTAGAGAAGAAAACATAAATGTTAAATTATGGTGCATATACTATTTAAGCTACACGTGACAGGTATTCACGTTTAAATGAATGGTATATATCCCACACCTTAACAAAACCTTCACCGTTAGCGGAACATCTTCACATTGTTGGCAGAGGTTAGACCTGAACGTTCATCTTTGCTAGAGACATTTATGTACCAGCTCGTATGTAAATTGTATCAGAATAATATGTTTCCTTGTCAAAATTATCATTATATATTTTGAAGAAACCTAACATGCTTTTGAATGCAAATGTTTGCCTTCCTTTAACTGTTCAAGATATTGTTATTTCTCCAACAAACAATTTTTCCGATATTCTAATCTATTGTCGTATTTCAACTATTGATCAAATAGAATTAGCAACAAATATACCGTTCATTTTAGAGAACAATGCATTTGCCGTAGAGTAATTTGGACAGCAGTTAAATTAAGTCTAACCAATCTTACTCCATAAGAAACGCATTAAGTACTTGATAAGTCATAAATAGAATTACATTGTTAACAGATGAATAATGTTAATTATAATATTACGTATGAAAGATAGCACGAATTGGTCATGAAAGCTCAATTGATCATGAGAATAATAGAAATATATATATACTTATTTAAAACCAACATCTATGTAAAACACTCGAGCCAACAATGTATGACGCCCATACTACCTGGGTATGGCTGGCAGCCTTTGGAGTGGAACAAACGTATCCGCAGTAGGACGTTTGAAGTTAGAACTGAAATTGAATTTTAGGACACCACATATGTTTAACTAGTATGTTAGCTTCAATAACACCACACTATGGTTAAACACCTGTTAATTACCTGTGTAATGTATAGACATAACTATCAGAATCCATAAATTACTAGACACATATTAAAAAGATGGTGGTTGCTATACCGATCTACTACTATATTGACATCCCTGACATAGGGGTTGGTTGCTATACCTATCTACTACTATACTGACATCCATGACATAGGTGTTGGTTGCTATACCGATCTACTATTATACTGACATCCCTGACAAATGTGTTGGTTGCTATCCCGATCTTCAACTATACTGACATCCCTGACATATGTGTTGGTTGCTATGCCGATCTACTACTATACTGACATCATCCCTGACAAATGTGTTGGTTGCTATACCGATCTACACCTATACTGACATCCCTGACATAGGTGTTGGTTGCTATACCGATCTACTACTATACTGACATCCCTGACAAATGTGTTGGTTGCTATACCGATCTACAACTATACTGACATCCCTGACATAGGTGTTGGTTGCTATACCGATCTACAATTATACTGACATCCCTGCCAAATGTGTTGGTTGCTATACTGATCTACTACTATACTGAGATCATCCCTGACATAGGGGTTGGTTGCTATACCTATCTACTACTATTCTGACATCATCCCTAACATAGGGGTTGGTTGCTATACCAATCTACTACTATACTGAGATCATCCCTGACATAGGCGTTGGTTGCTATACCTATCTTCTACTATACTGACATACCTGACATATGTGTTGGTTACTATACCGATCTACTATTATCCTGATATCCCTGACATAGGTGTTTGTTGCTATACCGATCTTCTACTATACTGACAACATCCCTGACATATGTATTGGTTGCTATACCGCTGTACTACTATTATGACGTCATCCCTGACATAGGTGTTCGTTGCTATACCGATCTCCTACTATACTGACATCGCTGACATAGGTGTTGCTTGCTATACCGATCTTCTACTATACTGCCATCATCCCTGACATAGGCGTTGGTTGCTATACCAATCTACTACTATACTGTCATCCCTGACAAATGCGTTGGTTGCTATACCAATCTACTACTATACTGTCATCCCTGACAAATGTGTTGGTTGCTATAGAGATATAACTCTACTCAGATCACTGACCTAGGAGTTGGTTGCTATACCGCTCTACTACTATACTGAGATCATCCCTGACATAGGAGTTGGTTGCTACACCGCTCTTCTACTATACTGCCATCATCCCTGACATAGGCGTTGGTTGCTATACCAATCTACTACTATACTGTCATCCCTGACAAATGCGTTGGTTGCTATACCAATCTACTACTATACTGAGATCATCCCTGACATAGGCGTTGGTTGCTATACCAATCTACTACTATACTGACATCCGTGACATATGTGTTGGTTGCTATGCCGATCTACTACTATTCTGACATCCCTGCCAAATGTGTTGGTTGCTATACCGATCTACTACTAAACTGACTATGAAACCTATATGGCATTTTGTTTCATTTACATTACTAGACTTGCACCTACATATCAAATAGATCACTCCTCATAGGACTTCAGTATAAAATAAACACTTGTATTTAATAAAGTTTATATTACCTATCACCATAATTTCGCCTTTCGTCAGTTGTTATACCCATAACGTTTGTAAAACATGTGTAGTTCACTTCATTATTACCCTGATCAACTATTTTGATGAAATTCATTCATATCTTTCGAATAAAAACTTAATTGATGTTAAGAATTAAGGATTGGAGTTCTTCTAAGTTTCAAATATTATTGTCCTGACAAGTATTTTTAAACGACATCTTTCTTTTAAATATCACTCAAAATGATATTGAAATTAACGCAAAATCACACTGCTAGTGTAAACGCCAATCTCACAATTCACTTTCAAATCCAAAGGAATTACCTTCATATCAGGTTAGTAAAATTCCAATTGATTTTATGTTTTAATTAATTCATTAAGTGCATCATAAAATTCACTAGTTCCATTGCAATGCGAGGTTACTGCAATGATATACAAGGTAAGTAGAATTGTATATATTACCTTATCATTCTGTAAAAAACAACAGATGAAGTACAGTGTCTACACTATTATACAATGTGACATAAAACACCTGTTTCTATGTACTGTTACATCCGCCTGATCTCTTACCATGTCAACCAGTCTAAACCAAACACCACGCCTTTCATTCAGAATTAAGGGCATTTGGTTACACAAGTTAAATTCCGTAAAAATCTCAGAAGATTTAGTTTTGGTTGAATTTGGTACCAACACTTTGCCCCAAGTCAAGCGTGTTCGTTTTCCCATTTTAATTCCAAAATTACCAAATTTAAGTCATTTTTTGGTCATGCTTATGATGCATATAACATTTACATGTAAATAAGCCTGGTTGAAAAATAGATGTTTGACTTTCAAATGATATCAAGCCAAAAAGTATTTAGGTAGGATGAATAAAATTCTGAGCTTAGATACAAATGATGCTTTGTCTTTAATTTCAAAACAATTTGAGGGGGTGAAATTCAAAAACAGTATCAAACACTTTCTAAAGCATTCGATGTTGTGTTTAGACAAGTTAACCATATGTACTGCATAATAAAAACAAAAGTAAATGTGGAATTTCTATTAACAAAAAATAATTTGAAACATTTTCTTGTAAAATTGGTCATGTTAAAACTTAATCTGATAGTACAACTTGTCATGTTAAAACTTAATCTGATAGTACAACTTGTCATGTTTAAACTTAATCTGATAGTACAGCTTGGCAGGTTTAAACTTAATCAGAGAGTACAACTTCTCATATTTAAACTTAATCTGATAGTACAACTTGTCATGTTTAAACTTAATCTGATAGTGCAACTTGTCATGTTTAAACTTAATCTGATATTACAACTTGTCATATTAAAACTTAATCCGATAGTAAAACTTGTCATGTTTAAACTTAATCTGATGGTACAACTTGTCATGTTTAAACTTAATCTGATAGTACTACTTGTCATGTTTAAACTTTATGATTTTATGTGTTATCATATATCATTCAAAGTTCAATTAACAGTTGATGCTTATAAAATGTATTGAATTCAACTATTTAACAAAACTCCACACAGTTACTTTCTACTGGTTATAAATCAAGCAGGCATTAAATGACTCCAGCTAAATATGCCTGCACTCTATAAACATCCACAGAATTAGTCTAAGAAAGTCTTCTTTTACAAACAACAGATTGAGATAGACAGAGCTAACATTGACTTCAAACATCTACACTGCTCGAGTCTAGGACCTACCAGACAAGTACTGCATTTATCCGGCAATATGCCCAGCCGTATCTAGTCTAGTAAATAGACTAACATGTACTACTTTGTGTAATAAATCCATTTTCCTACTTTAAGTTAGATTTATGTGTTGGCCCCTAGGCTTATTTGAGGATAACTACAGAATACTTTTTCTACAAGATTTATATAAAGACACTTACCCAAACTCTGGTAAGGGGCGAGAGGACCCTGTTCTGTGGAATCCTGGCGAGTACTCTACTGCCTGGTAAGTTTTGTCCCCCTCTGATGCATAAGGTATTCCATTCCTCTTGTCTATAATTGTCTCTGTTAAAACGAAAAAAAAATGATCTATGAAATTTCTGAATGAATATGAAAGTGATAGACCGAATCACGTTAAACTATTAAGAATTAGTACATGGATACATATTTTTGTACAGAAAGTAAATATTTTTTTAAATCATCGTTGGTGAAATCATTATACATTACCTGATTCCTGTTTTTTCTCGTGTACAGAACATTTTTTTCAAATATCAAATAAAATATTTCAAATAAACTTGCACTTTTCTTATTTTTCCTTCAAAACATCAGAACATGTAACAAACAAATTAAACTTGAAGTCAGTAAACGTTTGAAAATGTATTCAATTTGTTAATAATTTGTTTACCATTTCTTCCTCTTCCAAACAGCATTTTATGCGTGATTTCGTTTGATGAGACATTAGTAGCTTTATGAACACCATCAAAGCTACACCTCAGACCAACTTTAGTCAATCCTGGATCCAGCAGCCACTCGTTACTGGAGCGCTTGTATGTAACTGCAAATTCATGATTGAGATTCTTCATTTTATTTTATATCTATAAATGGAATCCATATTATTTTACAAATAATACTAAATATAATAGACATGGTTCCAATCACAACACAGCTCAGGCGTTACAAGTTAGTGGGGTTTTATTGGCAATTTTATTCGACAATAAAGCCCCACTAACTGGTGACGCCTGAGCCGTGTTGTGATTGGAGCCCCACCTATCATATTTACATATTCGATACCAATCGCCCTGCATACCTTCCGGTATCCACTCTAGGAGCGAAGCGCCCCACTGATCAATCCATCTATACAACCACAAGACATAGGCTCTACATTTTTTTGTTAAATAATACTAAAACCACATTCATATATCTGTATTAACATGCTAAAACATAATTTTACGATTAAACAGAAACAGAAGTATTACATTCTTAATCATATGTTAAGTATAAGTTATTTCAGCTTGAAGACAATAGTTTGTCTGTAAAAAAACAAAAATCACCAGATTTCTTTTCAAACTGATTTATCTTTTATCTTTAGAAGTGAGGGTGGCAAAAATTGGAAAGGTCAAAAATTGCAATGAATTGTTCAATATACCTGACATACATACATTGTACCTATATCGTACAAAATAACAATATGATTAAAATCATCTGTTACATGGCTCCGTTAACTTCGTACTACGCCTGAACAGGCTAACAGAGCCATGTAACAGATGATTTTAATCAGATTGACAAAATAACATATTATTATAACACATCTTTGTTATATTACATGGATATGGTCGCATGGCCTTCCAGTTATTGGGGAAAATTTCTGCAGCTGGGTATTCAGGGTGATCTGGATCAGGAATATATTTAAGTTTGGATTTCCAATCTGGTCCATTTCTGAAAGAAAAAAACAGTACATATAATGACTCAATGAAAACAATTTACAGCAATTGATGCAATCGTCAGAAAGAATCAAGCCCCTATTTTCTTTAGCACAGTATAACCTTAAGAGCCACTATTTGTAACATATTAAGGCATTTGTTACATTAAGGAGATAATCCCTACTGTGCAGAGCTGCAATATAATTTTTCTTTTATGCTGCTACCAGCAGTCTACTCAGGTGTTTCAAAATTACAAAAACTTAAAGACACTTGGATATCAACTATTTAAGATAAGTATTATTTGTATAAGGCTGTGCAGATTGTTTTTCTAACACTTCCAATGTTTTTTCACAAACAAATCAACAGAGCGTTTGTCAACATTAAACAGTCACCAGACCCTCATGCTTCGCATATATCTTTAGCTTTATTTTAACAATGAGGAATACTATTAAGCCATTTATGATAAAACTGATTAAGTAAAGCTTTATTGTTTATGTTACGTTAATTGACCGTTAAATGTCCCCACTAATACGGATATCATGGTCTAAATAAAGTGAGGTGTACACTGAGGCCAGTGAAGCCGCCATCTGAAACTTAAGGTATGCACCCAACAAAGAGGGAAGTGTAAGATCACCTGTGGCACACTTACATATGATCCAATATTACACACTTAATATGTTTTGCATGGTTATCAAGTTCCCATAATTAGCAGACTTCATTGGTATTGTATGGTAATCTAATTCCCATATAGCAGACTAAATTAGTATTGTATGGTAATCCAGTTCCCATATAGCAGACTTAATTAGTACTGTATGGCAATCAAGTTCCCATATAGCAGACTTAATTAGTATGGATGGCAATCAAGTTCCCATATAGCAGACTTAATTAGTATTGTATGGCAATCAAGTTCCCATATAGCAAACCTAATTAGTATTGTATGGTAATGCAGTTCCCATATATAGAAGACTTTATTAGTATTGTATGGTAATCCAGTTTCCATATAGCAGACCTTATACGTATTGTATGGTAATCAAGTTCCCATATAGCAGACCTAATTAGTGTTGTGTGGTAATCAAGTTCCCATATAGCAGACCTAATTAGTATTGTATGGTAATCAAGTTCCCATATAGCGGACCTAATTAGTGTTGTATGGTAACCATGTTACACGTAAGTAGCATTGTTCCTTAATTTTAGATTCACTGTGGTATATAAAGTTCCCAAGTATCATACCTTAATGGTATTTTATCTATAATTCAGATATCCTGTGGCACATTTAATTAGTTTTGTTTGGTATTCAAGTTCCCCATATCACACTTAAATGGTATTGTTCCTTAATTTAGATTCATGTTGCTCTCTTAATCAGCATTTTACCATAATCAATTGCAAGTTCCCTTGTACTTATGTTCAATGGAGTACCTGGTAGGTATTATTGAGTGGTGGTGATATTAACAGCCCATGGTGTGTCAAAATATGCATTGTATCAAACTTACTCGGAATATTTGACTTGTATATTTTGAGGATGTGGTGCCCAACCATCATCAAATCCATATCCATGAGGGATATATCTCCGTCCACTTGATCGGTATTTCGGTACACTTGCAGAGTTATCTATGTGAGGAAAATGCCGCCGTTCTCTCTCTGAAATTAAAGATATACAATAAAAAAAATAAGCAATATACAGTAAAAGAGCTATGATACTCTTTATCGATAATGGTCCAGTCTATTTTATTTTTTCTCTCTCGCAAATCCTTACAGCGGCAAGATAATCAGGGTATTTTGCATGATTGTTGTTCATTTCACAGAACATTAATAGGACCTAAATATTCTTCAAGTATTTTATTCAAATTGCAAAAAATGGACACTGTTTATTTTGAAAAGGACCCCACTAGATATGACATATGAAGTACTGACACCAATAGTTAGGATTTTGCATAGCTGAGTTGTAAAGATGTAAAGGAATCAGTGGTGCATGATATCTCCGTGATACTTGTGTTGGTTTACCAACATTTTTATTCCAATTTTTTCAGTTGTGCATAATGTAAATAGTGTCAAAGTTGCTATACTAGCTTTGGCTAGAGGGAATTTCCTTAAGCTATTACAAGGTCAAAAGAGGATAAGAATTAATCAAGAACCCGGCTTGTTGGACCTTAATATACCCACAAACAAGGAAAATATGGTAGCCAATCTAGATGTCCAAAGTGCCCTGGGCAAAAGTGACCATGGATGTATCGCCTTTCAGTTTATATGAAGACACATCACACAAACCAGTGCAATAGCGAAACTTAACTACAAGTGACTATCTAAAGATGAGGGAAGAGCTAAACATAGACCGGAATACAGGTCTACAATCCGAGGACATGTAGGAAAACTACAACACATTTATTAATAAATTGTCAATTGGGATAGACAAACAGATTCCAAAAATAAAATTAGGAAAGAAGAAACATCAACAACCACTAGATGAAGAAACAGAAGATTAAGTTCAATAAAACACAGATGCTGGAGGAGAATCATGGAGACAAAGGATCACAACAAATATGTAGAGTATGTCATTAGGCAAGAAACAAAGTAAAGAGCTTGGTGCGAAAAGCTAAAAAAACAACTGGAATATATTATTGCAAAGGATGTGAAAACCAACCCGAAGAAATTTTGGAAATACGCCAATACCAAAACAAAAACTAGAACAGGAATATCTGAACTGCATGCAAAGGACAATAGTCAAGTGGTTCATATTGCTCAAAGCGAAAGAGAAAAGGCAAACGTGTTGGCGGATTACTTTAGCAGTGTTTTTACAAGAAAACCAAATGGAGACATACCTTAGCTCCCAATTAAGCATATAAAAAAACATTTTGTCTGGAAGGAACTCAGCGAACAAAAAGTTGACAAATTTATCAAAAGCATGAATACAAACAAATCCTAAGGTCCTGATAACATAAATCCAAAAAATATTGAAAGAACTTTAACCAGTAATAGCAAAACCATTCAAAATACTGTTCAATCAATCATTGCGTACTGGTTGTGTGCCATCAGCTTGGAAAGAGGGAAGGATTGCAGCTATTTTCAAGAAGGGAGATAAGTGTTATGCAGGTAGCTACAGACCAGTCAGTTTAACAAGTATCATAGGTAACTACAGACCAGTCAGTCTAACAAGTATCATAGGTAACTACAGACCAGTCAGTCTAACAAGTATCATAGGTAACTACAGACCAGTCAGTCTAACAAGTATCATAGGCAAACTGTTGGAAACAATTGTAAGGAATCACGTTATAGAGCATCTAACAAACAACAAGCTTCTAAGTACTCAGCAATTTGGTTTTGTGGAAGGGTGGTCTACATTACTCCAGCTTCTTAAAACCATGAATGACTGGACGAGAATCATTGATGAAGGGGGTGGTATGGACTTCATGATGGCCTTTGACACTGTTCCGCACAGAAGACTAATCAGCAAACTGAAATCATATGGATTGTCAGCAGAAATAGTAGCTGGATAAAAGACAACAGCATGTTGCTGTTGATCATGGTCACACCTCTGAATGGAATCAAGTCACTAGCGGAATACCACAAGGCAGGTTACTTGGACCATCATTGTTTGTTCTGTACATAAATGACCTACCAGTTGTCGTTGATTCAAACGCCCTACAGTGTTTTCCCCAGAATGAAAGAAGCATGGTATTTCAATATTTCTGTTAAAGCAGCACTCTATGTAAAATCAAAGCAGCACGGTAACTTTAGATTTACTATGAATATATAGCAGAGAAGATCTAGGATAGCAGCATGGCAAGGAATTATAGGAGCATGGTGCCATGCTGCAAAAAAAGCCTGGGGAGAACACTGCCCTACTATTTGCCTACGATACTAAATTGTATAAAGACACCAGGGTCAATGGCAATTTTTAGCAGGACCTAGACAATTTACAACAATGGTCAGACAAATTATTTCTAAAATTCCACCCGCATAAATGCAAATCAATGTACCTGGGAAATAAAAAAATGTTCAAATGATCTGCATTTATATCAAGATGTTGATGATCTGAGAACAACAGTAATGCTAACTGAGGAAATGGAAGAGAGAGACCTTGGGATAATTGTTGACAATAAATCAAGTTTTAGAAATCATATACAAAACGCCGTAAACAAAGCAAACCTAATACTTAGAGCCATCAGAAGAACATATACATACTTGGATAATAAATAATTCTGCCTACTGTATAAAGCTTTAGTTCGATCCCATCTAGAGTATGGAGCATGTGTATGGAAACCATACGAGCAACAGGATATTAAACTTCTAGAAAGTGTCCAACAGAGAGCTACTTAATTACTGCAAGGAATGAATAATTTTCGTACGAGTAAAGATTGCGTCGTCTTAAACTCCCATTGTTATTCTATAGATGTAATAGGGGAGTCATGATAAAAGTGTTCAAAATATTGAGGGGTGTCTATGATACAACAGCATCACAGAGACTTTTTTTCAATAAAACAAGATAAAAAGACTCAAGGATATTCACTCAGTCTGGATAAATCAAGGAGCAGACTGGACGTAAGGAAATACTCATTTACTCAACAAATTGTTAACAACTAGAATTCCCTACCTGAAAACGTAATTCAAGCACCAAGTCTAATAACTTTTGAAAACTGCATTGATAAATTTTGGGAAAGTAATGAAAGGAGATTCACAACAACATTAGAGTGACGTCACATCAAAAGCATATGATTTAATAAATATGGACTATGATCTGAATATAGAGGCAGATATATGCCTACGTTCAAAATAAACTAAGTTAAACTAAGTATAAGCAGCATATAAGTGTCTGACTAGAAAGGTTAAATCCCCGGTGAATGCACATATTCTTTTTACTGTTTCGTTTCAAATACAAATTGTAGCCATTGATTTTTCTCGATCAAGGAAGTGGAGAACTCGGCCTTGGCAGTGAGCAAAAGAATTTGTGGTTGTCTTCGAGGGCAAAGACTTGGAGAAAGAGGGTTTGGGGATAAAGGATGTGCATTGTGCAGGTTCAAAGTCATATTACCTAGCTAAAAGGGGAATTCCTTTTCACTTAGTGGTAGAGCATCTCTGACTAGAAAGTCTGTGCATAAATTTTCTTTTCACTATACATGTACTTCTTCCCTACTACAACAATATACTGTACATTACAATATCAGTATTAATAAATCACAATCCTAGTTTGCACACCGGTGACTATCTCATATATTGTAGCATCGAATTGGTGGTAAAATATTGGGAACCCACATTTGGAACCTATAACTGGTAAATTATATACAACATCATGGATTATTACAGACTGTAATACACTGTGTGACAGATTTCAATTGTACACAGGATTAAGGTCGCTTTCTAGCTTTGCACTAGAGGGAACTTCCCATTAGCTCAATGGAAGAGCGTCCAATTTGGAACCTGTAGATCGATTATTCTCATTCCTGTTACAAATGGTGTCCGTGTTCTCCCTGTGGTGACAAGGAGTTAGAACCTGGGTTGTGATGTTCCAGGGAAAACACATTTAAAAAGGGGAGAGTAGTTCTAGTGTGGCAGATTTTAATTGTACATAGGATTACGGTCACCTTCTAGCTTTGAGCTAGAGGGAATTTCCCTTTAGCTCAGTGATAGAGCGTCTGACTAGGAACCTATCTGGAGATCGAGGGTTGATCCCCGGTTAAAGCACAGTATTCTCTTTCCTGTTACACACTGTAGAATACAGGACCTTGTATTGCATGGCCTGAAAACTGGCTGCATCACTAAAATGATTCACCATGTAAGATATTTTTTTATTATTATCATGTTTTCATCTATACATAGTCAAATGTGTTTGAAATTCTGACTGTAAATTGAGATATATCTCATAAAAAAAACAAGGGCATAACTTCTTTTTTTTATAGTTGTACCCTTATTTTTTACATGATATTTCTCACAATTTACAATCAGAATTTAAAACATCTTTACTAAAGTATACATGTATAGCAGGTTCCATTTAGTTATCAATATTATTGAGGATGTCAGGCGCGCGTCTCTAGTGATAAAATGTGTGGCCTGACTTTTTGATACAACCACATCTAAAAACGTGTATTTATTACATAGCTGCAGAACTTTCTGTCCCAATAAAACGTCATTAGCTGGCCGAGCAGTCGTGTACATCATCAGATCATAAGCTGATAAGTGTAGAATTAAAAGTGAACCAGTATATGCCACTATCAATAACTCACCATGTTTACCCGGCCTGCCTATTTCCGTCGTTACATGTAACATTTTGCCGCTTTAGATAATCTTTTCCTGATGTATATTGCTCACGAATCTACATTATTTGATTTTTTAAACGGTAGTCTATTTGTAAACACCTGAGCAAACATCCGCCATGCGCCGAGGAAGCCGTATCCTGGCGACGACCGGAACAGGTGCCCGCTATCAGCCCGACATCTATCGGTGAAAGCTCAATTTACTCTCATTTTGTTATCATTATATAAGAAAGATAACTCTGTCTTGCTTATGATTTATTTGGTTGGCGGTCACGACCACGTCGCTAATTGCATTAATTGTTTTAAAACGCTGTATTTGTTGGCCGTTGAAATAATCGTTCAGGGAATGATCATATTTCGGGGGAAATGGTTTAACCTAAGCCAGTAATATAC